ACACAGACTTTTCTTAAACAGAATGATTAAAGACCATTTCTGTTCCACAACAACCCTTTCATATTCCAACAAATCCAAAGTATGAAAACCATCAAAGGCAACAACTTCAAAACTGATTCACTTGTATTACCTATGAACAGAACCCATTGGCATTTTTTCAATTTCAATTTCAATACATGAGTACCTATTGCTAATACACAACATCCTTCCTTTCATTAAGACCTGTGAAGGAAACCAACATGGTTGCAGATTTATGATCATATTCATCCATCGCTGCACAAAACTATCATGGTATCCTAATGTACGGGTCGTAATGTCTATCAAACCCACACATGTACTAATCATTCCTCAGTCCCTATCATCAAGCTTCTCCCAAAGGAGTAACTATTAACTGGCGACAGTATATCTTATTTGTGACTTTGAAGGAAGGTCTTTGTAAATTTACAAAACATTTCCTAAGACTTCACCCTCAGTGAAAACATCCCTATTTCCGCTCCAATGAACATTAGTCAATGGAAGCTTGACTATTAGATTCAGCAGATCACATGATCTGGCAGCCATTGAACTTTGGAGGCAACAGGTGCAAATAGCCCATCAAATGTATGTACATTGTACACTGTGCATCCATCAGAAAGCCATAATGGCAGACGCCATGAATATGTAACTGTTTCAGGAGACCAACCTCCGTACCCCTTTCATCTTGGGGGATTACCTATAAATCTGATACATTTATTCATATTTCCTTCAAATATTTGATTCATATTACTCGTTGGGTATCACTATGATGTGGGGAAAGTCATAATTTGGGTTGTGTTCTCGACATTTACGGTTCTTTTCTGTTCTGCTCTGTAAACTTTTAACATAGGTTTTTTGACGTCTTCCTGCTCCATTTGCTGCTGATACTGCCTACACACATTTCTATTCACTCACTCACCCACAATTAGCAAAACTAGCTGCATCAAATTCTTTGAGACTCCAATTTTGAAATTCCGAGGGAGATCAAACCTGCGTGAGTGCATATGTTAATGGGTGATTGAATGAGTGTTTCAGTGAGTGTGGTGACGTGAAATGGAGTTTAACATCACGTCCAAGCTTATTGCACTTAAATAGCAACATGCATGCATGTGTGTGCATGTGTTGCTGATTGTACTAGTCCGGACTAATGCTGATTTTAGAGTGCTAACTAACAGAGAGTTTAACATGAACACCCCACTCAGATACAGTATACCGACTCTGAGCCCACTAGTCCTTGTCTTAGCCTCGTTATGCCGAGTGTCAGGCAGGGTAACAACAAGTACCATTTTTAACATCTTTTGGTATGACGGGGCTGGGGATCGAACCACGGACCTTCCTCTCTCCCGACTAACTCTCTATCACTAGACCACGGAGGCAGTCTTGAGTGAGTGAGTGAGTGAGTGAGTGAGTGAGTGAGTGAGTGAATGTAACCATGCCAACATCATCCCAGCTACATCAGACAAACTGTATATCAAATCTTAAAGAAACCAATAAAGAAAACACTAACAACGATCCACTCAATCATCCAAAAAACAACTTGAACACCCCATCCAATGTTATAGTAGCCACCTCTCACAACAACCAATAAGGTGCTGGGGACTTTTTCTAATCCATCCCCACAGACCTGTGTGATAAGGAATATCCTACAAACTAGGCATGATAGGCTGCCCCATCAATACACAAACCATCCCATTTTCCAATGCATGGTTTTCATACTAACTCAAGCCACAAATGAGAAAACGTGTAAGAAAACGCATTAAACAAAATGTGTGCCCTTTTCTACAACTGGGGACAAGCTTCCGTATCATTCAAAGTGTAAATTAAATAGAATTAAAAAATCAATAAAAAAAATCCAACTATAAGATTTTTTTAAAATGCTGTATCATCATTTGTCATGTTTTCACATCACATTACACAGACTGATGAACATTGCGAATAGGAGGTGAAAAAGGTGTACCTCCATCACACCCTGTCTCAAAGTAATCCCCTGGGGAATTTAATGACCAGCAAAAAGTGGTGTGATGTATCAGTGTAACTCTAGTCATCAGGGAACCCCTACACACAATAGAAGACAGAGAACATCATCAAAGATCCTGGAAGGTAAACATGGCCGCTCTTCAATCTGCACGTCCTCAATATTTGTTACACCTCCATCCTCGCTGATTGTGACCGAAAGAAAAAGGTGAGCACATTCCTCGAACTTGAGTGTAAAACAGACTCTAGATTTCGAGCGATTGCAAAAAAATTGATACGGCGTAATTGCAAAAGGTCACGTTTAATTCATCAACCATCTGCTGAACTGTACCTTCTGAGGCACTTCCAGCGCTGCATATTCAGCCCTGACTGACACTGTAATCCTTTGGGGGCAATCGTGTTAGATTCACAATAATGAGGGTTGTGTTACTGGAATCTTGAATGTCCTATGCTCAAATAGGTGTGGTATTTTGTCCAGGTTCACATTCGGTAATTGGCAGTTGTCATGTGTACCGACTTGAATAAAAATACTTTTCATAAAATTCACAGTGTGAAGGGATCGTTTAATTACCAAAGTGAAAAAGTGAGTGGGAGGAGTATTATGTCTCCATGAACAATATTCCAGCAATATCAAGAGACCAGGGCTTCAACCATATTGGGGATCAATGGGGATCTGGGGCTGCAACTGTGCAGGGGATTGATCAGAGTTTGGGCAAAACTAGCAAACATGTTAATCATCAAGAAAAGAGAGGATTACAGCTGTCAGTGTGTTGATGCAGTTTTAATCCATTGAAAACAATTACCAACCATATTTACCATTTGATAGGGTATTGTAGCTTAATGCAATATTGCCTCAACATCAGGACCAGGTGACGAAACTGGCCATTAACTTCACAAACCGGGAACAGAACAAGCTCTCTAATCGACAAGCAAGCACTGTAACTACACACCCACCCAACCACCACTGAAGTTGTTTGAAGACAGTTTTACTACATACAACGTAAACAATAAGCTGAAACAGACATGGAACCTACTGAGGAGAGTCCTAGAGGTCTGGGGAGTCTGTTGATCTGAGCATCCAAACACAATACGAGGTGGTCAAAATGTGCAACTGTTTTACAGTTAATTGGCAGCTGAAGATTTTGACTTTTCCCATCAACCCATCCTTGAGGCAATAATATGTTTAAGCTAACCCCTCTAGCGGACAAGATCTAAAGGTCCTCCAGAGCTGGCAAAATGTTGCATTTGTTTGGTGTCGGAAGTGGGCGGTGTTGGGAGCCGGACATCTGGCCTGGTCACTGAACATACCCTGGGGGCCGTATACTAAACATGTCGCACAAAAATGACAACTCTTGAAGTACACAACTTACAAATCTCTCAAATTCCATTCTGCCCCAGAACACACAAATGCAAGTCAAAATGAAAGTAGTTTTCACACTTGCTAAGACATAAACCCGAACCCATCTCACACACAGACAGGAAAAAGGTTGATCCAATGTACAAAATGCTCCCCGAGACCGAGGTCAAGTTTGTTTGACCCGTGGTGGACACCCGGACGAGCTGTGGACTCAGGTAACTCAGGTATTAGTTCCCTCTGTGGTCAGCAGAAGTGCAAACAGTATCTGTCTCTTCATTAACCTCTAGTTACACGGGGGGGATCTGGGGGGTTTCGGGGGGATATAATGGTCTTACAGGGGCCTTGCTGTGAGCTACATTATGCTGTCTCATCACACCATGCTTGTTCTAGGTTAAAGCTGGGATTGGAATAATTTAGTACAACTCCAGAATCAGGGTCGTCTACAGTGAGTGTGGAGCCCCCTTCAGCTCTAAACAGTATTACAAGAAAGGGCTTCGTTAGAGTAACACTTAGTCTGTGAAAAGATTTCTTTAAAATAATTGTAATTTTTTTCTCTTCAAATGAACCTTTCCGTTTCTGCCGTTTTCATGCATAATCAAGGAAACTAGACTTTGTTTAGTTTGATCTAGGCTTGCTGTCTGTTAGTAAAAAATCTCTATATAGATATACAAATTCCACAATAATAGCACAGGACTAGAGCTTTATGCTTGTGAAGAAAAGAACTTGGTGTTCGACTGACAAACTAACACACTTCCTACTGGGCTAACTCAATCAGCACACAACTGGGAGACCTATCTGTTTGGAAATACCACAAAGTGTAAGACTTGTCAGCACCATATCGGATGAGTTCATGTAATAGTACGCCACAGCCCGCAACATTTCAGCTGCCTTATCAGGGGGCAATAACCCAACAGGAACCAGTGATTGACAGAATGAGCAACACTCCATGCCCATGGGGGATCATGTGAAACAACCAATGACCACCTCATGCTAGTCAACTCTCATGACACACTTGGTACTGGAGACCTTATAGACACGGAAATGTACACAGTGGTAATACCCTTTAGAACAGTTACACAAGTTACATTACATATTTTCAAAGTAATATTGAACACACGCTCCATTAACCCTGTGAATGTCAACCACACTACACTGCACTGTAATAAAACCATTCATTCCAACTAATAGAATCTCGTAAACATGTGTTACATGAAACTTAACATTTGTCAAATATACTGCAACACTTCAAAAACGCATCATTTTATGACATATTTACGTGTAGTTATCACCAAATAATTACTTACGTTTCATTTAAAGTGTTTTGAAATGTTAAAATGTACTTCATGTCCATAATAATAGCTATTTTATTTTGTTTCTAACGTCGACAAGATGTAATATGACAATACCAGATACACTCTGACATATATACTGCCATAAATAAGTCCAATCAGTATAACAAATTGTTATAAGTAGAGAGAGTATTCCAAAATCATCCATTTTCTGCTAAAATCATCAGTAATCAGAACCTCATTCTGTAGATGTTAAGTATTCCCAATAAACGTCTATCGACTTACTGATACCACGATTGTAATTCAGGATGCTCACGAGTTCCAGTGCATCCGATACATCAGAGAAGGCCAACGTGCTTACATACCTGTGTCTATGTCGGTGGCGCTGACGTTGAGGAGAGTTGTCCCAATGGCGGCATTCTCCCAGATCTCTTGACTGTAGGACATGGGATCAAAGACAGGGGTGTTGTCATTGACATCCTTTACGTTCATGTAGACGGTGACGCTGCTGATGAGGGGAGGGCTGCCGCCGTCATTGGCTGAGATGTTCAGGGTGTACAATTGCACCTGGAATACAAACAGTCAAGAATATAAAAACACAACATTTTTCCACAATGTTGAAACTTTCGATTTACTTCAACAGACTAAGGGACAACAGTTATTAAAAATTACTTCCCATAGAGAATATTTATTGTTTTCCCATAACAATTCATATCAAAATTGAGACCAACCACTTTAAAATAGATCAACTTTTACAAATGGCAAGTTTCGCAAATAATAAGAGCATGTTTACATTCCATTCACCCAAAATCCCAAGTCTACAACTAAATCTAATTTTGGGAGGAAGTGCATCAGATCAAAGCATTTTCTAGTAGAAAATGTATTTGCAATATGTATATTACCCCCAATTGCAAATAGCACAGTCTGCTCTTTGAAGCTGAAGGGGACAAAAAATGGACGTAAATGTTATTACAAATTTCCTGCCTGCAACTCGGACACGACATTTCAGATAAGGTTGCACTAAGGAACATGAATTGCAAATCCATAAAAGCATGGTATGTACAATTGTCCTACTGACAGGCTATATATCTATAAGGTCCTCAGACAGGTATGTGGGCCTCTAGGACTCTCCATTGTGGCATGACTCACGCAAAATCATCATGAAGATATTAAACTCTTGAAAACGTCGCGGCTAAAATGAAATACAATGCACTTCTTTCAAGCATCTGAGCAATAATATATCACAATTGTTCATTTATCTGTATGAAAGCTGTACTTGTGGGTACAGCTTGATTTACCTCCTCAAAGTCGAGTTGGTCAATCAGCGTGATGGTGCCCAGACTGCCTTCAACTTGGAACTTGCTTTTGCCCCAATCAGAAACCAGATCATAGGTCACCTGACCATTGGATGCCTCATCCTGGTCAATGGCTGTGACACTCGCAACAGTTGTGCCGATTGCAGTGTTTTCAGGGACATCGAAGGAGTAAAAGGAATGGGTGAATTCAGGAGGGTGATCGTTTTCATCCTCGACTGTGATCTGGACATCGGAAAATGACGTCTGCTGCCCATCGGAAGCTTGGACACGGAAGGCATACGACCTTCTTCGGGATCGACTTAAAACCCTTGCTGTTTTCAAAGTTCCTGCAACCAAAAAAATTATTGTTGAATTTATACTGTCGACACTTGGGATGAAATTTGTTTTTTACACCACAGCGTGTGTGTTCAGAATTAAACCAACATAAACATCAATTTTGTCAATGAAGATAAGTGTGTTCTCGACATAAAACTTATTCCTAAGATTCCAGCTTGATTAACACTGGCAACAAATAGTCGACTTGATTATACCATTGTCTACTCAGCTCTTCCCAAAAGCTACTTATGAAGATTCCCCCTTGAAACTGTCAGTTGAAGCTTGCAGATAAGCTAATTCTCTGAAGGGGTTCCTAAGAAGCCGACTCAATCACATTGTGTTTGGGCAAAATTGGTTGACAATTTAGATTTTATTCAAAAGAGATGTTGGAAAAAATCCCCTTGATGCAACAGTTTCGTGTTTCAACAGTTTAAGCCTGATCTCTTGAGGGAATTAACTTAATTTTGTCAGCCCAGACTGAGCCTGCATGGTAGATGTGTAGAAGTCGTTACCCTCCCGGCCGGGGGAGGAGAGGCAGGCAAACACTCAGCTCCATCTCCGGAGCATCACTTATTTCTGTTGCTTCCCGTTAAAAAATGATCAACTTGTGAAATATTCATCACGTCAGCGTCAAGAAGCTGAACTTCCCAGCATCCCTGTAATCTATGGAAATTTGAAGTCAGGGCTAATCCATCCATGTTACATGGACTATGGACACATTACATGGCTTGCAACCAGGTCGACTCATTTCAAAACACGTCTTGAAATGTATTGAAATTAAGTGAGAGGAGACAAGTTATAAAGAATGAGGCAAAAAGCACACCAGACTTAGATTTATCTGTATTTTCACAAGAAAGTTATTAAATCTAAAGAAGAAAATCTTTCAAAAAGAAAAACCCATTTCCTTAATCAAATTAAATCTGAACTTTTTAAAATCCAGAGTTGAAAGTTCTTGAGTGCAATGTTTTATGGTGGGGCAGAAATCTCTACTTTACAATAAAGACATATTGGTGCCAGACAAGCTGTGGAGCTCCAAGAGACAATTGGGACTAGAAGTAACAGACAAATTGATGGACCACAGTCTTCAATTGGAGTAGAAGTATGTTTTAATGCCTATTCGGTTGCCAAGACGATTTCACTTCCCTGACCTTTCACAAAACATTTTGGTTCCATGACTGTTCGTATCTCATGAGGTTTAGCAGAAGTAAATCTTTTTATCCAATAATTCCTTCTTCTACAAACCGATCTTAGCACTAAGCCATTCGAAGTCCACATTGAGGCATAGAACTCGGACTGTCAAGGACATCAAAAGTATATGCTGAATAATAGGAATTGAGTGAGAGTGAGTTTTTGAACTGAATGTCAGTGTGTAAGCTTGATTTTGGAGGAAACCCTGAAATGATGCAACAAGCATCAAGCACGGCAACCCAGAAACATAAGCAGTATGAATCTGTGATTACAATCCCCAATCACAGGTTCCTGGCATGCCTAAGGGACACAACTCTGCATAGCAAACAGTGCCACTACATAGAATCAAAGACAAGGACAGCCCCAGCATTGAAGGCCTATGCTACAACAGAGAATTCTAGTAAGGCTGGAATGGACATCAGGAATGTAGCGAAAGGCACCAAAATCATAGCAATGTCAGCAAGGCCTGTGAAGTCTTTGTCCAAGTAAATGATAAAAGGACACCATCAACATGAAAGATCAGCTAATGTATCGACATTCAAACACAATGGAGATTATACAGCAAATCCTTGTGAACTCAAACTCCAATAATTTGATTGATATTCTCCAGTATGGCATTACTTAGTGATCCCTGTTGAATCCTAATTGGAACAAAGGTCTAATATTGAGACAATGGTTCAATGCTGGCACTCTACTTATCTCAAAATTATGGATAACTGAACATATTTTGTATGAAACTAAAAACTTCAAGTGAGTGAGTGAGTGGGTGTGAGTGGGTGTGAGTGAGTGAGTGAGTGAGTGAGTGAGTGAGTGAGTGAGTGAGTGAGTGAGTGAGTGAGTGGGGAATTGAACCACGCCCTTTGACTAATGAGCGAACGCTTTAACCACTAGATTACCCAAACGCCTGAAAAATTTTAGTTAGCAATGTTTCACAGTACTGTTAATATGTCACCGTAAACAAAAAGAATGTAAAAACAAATTATCACCCACCATCTTGAGTTATAGAGAAGTCCTCCGCGCCATTTCCATTCAGCTGTAGCTGCGTGCTGCCGATGGTGTCCGGGTCCGTCACGTCGACTGTCAACACGGACTGTCCAAGCTGTGCGCTCTCCGAGATGGTGTCCAGGAAGAGAGAGCTGGAGAATCGCGGAGGCGTGTCGTTCTCATCCACAATCCGAATCCGAGCCTGGAAACAAAATCAGCATGCTATAGATCTTTTGATGACTTTATACAGGATTTCACAAACGAGCAATATGTAACTTTTGATACATACTGTTACCATGCACGCAGTATGCATCTGTTCATGAACATGCTGCATGAAACGTGGGTGTGAGTTATGGTGGACTTTCTGTATGATGGTGCATGTGTCATGTGTATATGCATCCTCGTTTACATGTGACTGCATCCTCGTTTACATGTGACTGCATCCTCGTTTACATGTGACTGCATCCTCGTTTACATGTGACTGCATCCTCGTTTACATGTGACTGCATCCTCGTTTACATGTGACTGCATCCTTGTTTACATGTGACTGCATCCTCGTTTACATGTGACTGCATCCTCGTTTACATGTGACTGCATCCTTGTTTACATGTGACTGCATCCTCGTTTACATGTGACTGCATCCTTGTTTACATGTGACTGCATCCTCGTTTACATGTGACTGCATCCTTGTTTACATGTGACTGCATCCTTGTTTACATGGGTGTTTGAATCCTGTTAAATTTAACTCTCAAAATCATTGCCTAACATTAACACAATAGGGTTTATCTTCTCATTAAGTCATCCTGCTATACCCCTTTACGTTTGCTATTCCCTATTTTGACTTGTACCATATATTACCATGTTGTTTCAGATGAACAATTGACTTGCCTTTGCATGTGTTTGTGATGGGTGCCACATGTAGGCCAGGGCCGCTCACCTTATTGTGACCACCTGGTATCATCACAATTTGAGTGATTCATAATCACATGCTTATGATAGAGTCAGAATTGTACAATCGACTGCTTTTAGGGATTTCTTATTATGGTTTTGTTGGTTTATTAATTAGCATTGACATACTGAATGTATTCAGCATTCCAAAATGATTTCACACAACTACATTCAAATGATGGAATACAAAGGACATCAACCTGATCACACCCGATTTAACAGCTGCAAGTATTATTTACTTTCATATTTACCAAGCTGTCTCCAAGGCGGAGAGCTTATAAATCTGAAGGCCAGTTGCCAGGACATCCTCAGTGGTTACCTGGCACCTTGTGACACACACACATCGTAAGAATTCATAATACTCCAACTTGAAAGATTTCAGTTTCGAAAAAAAAAATATTTGAAGATTCATGACATATGTTTGCAAATCAGCTTAAACATGTTAAACTACACCTTCCAATGGTTTATGATGCAAACATTTTTCAATGCAGGTTATCAAAGCGTGAGCTGGTCAGGACTTTGGAATGTCGTCTTCTGATACAAGGCTGCAGTGTGAAGAATCCGTCACTTTGGCAAAAAAAGACCTCAAATTGACAGATATATGCCACATGATCAAATGTAACATATCTCCCTGTTATTCCAAATGTTTGTCAGGCAAGATGACTGGGCACAATTACTCCAAGATGACATTAGATCAAAGCAGAGTGAAAAACTAAATATCAATTCGAGAGTCAGTGCTGCCGGAATATTTCCCTACGGGCAAAAAATTACTGGTCAAAGATGGGATTGATTTATTTGTTTTCGGCTTAAATGCTTATCCTATTGGATAAAAGGCCATGAGAAAGGCCAAATATCCTTGTGAAAGAGCTGCTTTATTTCAAAGGGAATTCCTATTGTATTTACCATACATAATACTCGCCTGACAACAGATAACGTGACAATGATCAAATAGCATATCTTACATACTTACAAACAACAATATGCCCTTTCAAACCGAGAATATATCTCCATCCAGAATTAGAAAATGGGAAGGAATTAATTTGATACCATGATTGAAAGGAGAAGTCAGTTAAATTTAAATTAAAACTAATCCTGCAAAGTTCCTTAGGTCAAGTAATAAACATAAATCATGCCACATTGAAATTCAATTATCTGCTGTGACCATTGACACAAATTTTCACGCTATAATGAGCAACATTAAGAAACACAAACTCATTATGATTCTGGAATAATTATCCTCTAAATAGTCACTATGAACCCAACAATGACTCTGGCTCGATTAAGAGCACGTGCATGAACCTGTACGGTTTGAAATGAGACACAGGTCTGATTGAGAAAACCAGTAGGCTGTCCCCGAATGAGGATTATGTGAGTATCGTATCCTCGATATGGGGTCGAAGGGAATGCTGGGATATCGCTAGTTTATAGCTGCTATAATGAGAACTTAATGAGTTCCACCATTTAGTGTAAGTAAGCATGCTGTAGGGTAAACATCGTAATTGGGTAGATCCGAATGGAGAACTGATAAATGTGTTTGGCTAACACTCACATAAAGACTGTGTCTGTTGTGTGGAAGGCTCTCTGGCAAGATACCCTGGAATCTGTCGTAGTTTCAACCAATTAATTTTACCAAATGAACACAAGAATGAAATCAGGTCTCAAAGAGATTTGAGAAACTTCATTAAATTGAATGGCTGAAAGTTTCCAAATTGTTCGCTTCTGACATGCCAAATAATTGGATACTTCTGTTATATTGTAAGCATATAGTTATAGTGGCATTTGTCAACCAACGTTATAGAAATGTCAAATATAAATCGATAATCAATTCTACAGATAACTACAATACAAATAGATATTATCTTTAACTGAGTGTTTGTTCATGAACACCTGGTGTCATCACTGTTATTCAGTGATCCATTCCTGTAATTTTCATCACTATTTTGCCTTTAGTGCTATGGATGTGTTTCAGCAGATATTCAATCTGACTACTCTTTGGCATTTATGTTTTGAATTCATACCGGTTTGTGGCACATGATCGTTTTTGTAGATATTTGCTGCGAGACTAAAAAGTGCTTACACAAATCATACCATGAAGGATCTGAAGCATTCATCAAGACAAGCAAACACACTTACAAAAAAATGGGCTGCCAAACAAAATTCACTGTTCGAGAAAAGAGAAAATTGCTGATTTGCATTTTCAAAAAAAGGCTTCACACTGGGCTGCCCTGATTCCAACATGGCCGACACAACATGGCCGCATGTTCCATTCCTATCTAGTATTTAAACAAGTACATCCTCACATGTGGAACAGGCCACCCTAATGTCAGCTGTCATTAGTCCTAGCTTCACAGACAAACACCATGTTAAAACAAAGCACATCAATACATGTAATGAAATCTAACCATGCCATTTTGACATTTTTCCCCGAAACATCCTCCATTTCAAACAGTTAATCGGACCACTCATCGATTTTCCATGCTTGATTTCCCAAGTCTAATGATTGCTCAATATGGCTATTGTATACAACATGCGATCATCAGTTTCACACCCTCATTTACCTCGTGTAAACCTAATCATTAAAATGTATTTCATGAAATGTGACATTTTCTCCGTAGGCTCACGCAATGCTGGCTGGTGAGGTTAGCAAAACGTCAATGTTTCAGCTTGTCCCATTATCAGCCGAGTACATCTTATGCTACCTATTGTCCCGTCTCTATGGTAAACAGCAGAGAATAAATATAAATAGCTTTGGGTCTCGCATGAGTAGATGAACACCCATTACCCTCCCAGACATAACATTGTGATGAATCATGTAGGCAACAGTTGCATCCATTCATCCCTACAAACGGAAAACTCGCGCTCGGAACTGACAGACTTCTGGCAATGATTGTCACAGCAATAATTGAAAGAACTGTAAGTCTATAATGCATTATTCATATTTTCAAAACATCAAAAGAATTATTTTCCAGCAAACTGTACCCGCACAAATCAATCATATTCACCTTGTTTTCTTGCCTGATCTTTCATTTCAAACGTGGAGACTTAACCTTATCGTCATCCCGAATGTGAGCTGCACAGAATAGAACTTAATCAAGGGGAAACTCAAATGAACTGCCAGAATGACAGATGAAGGAATAAAGAAAATGAAAGCCATTACGCAGATTTCCCCAGCTTATTTATTCAAGAAGGAGACTGATTATTTATCTTTCAAACAAACTTTTTAAATCTAATTTTCTTGACCTCAAAATGGTGAAATTAACTCCAGCTTATTCTCCACTTTTTAGAATGCAAAATGGTTTGCGAACAAGCTGTGATTTATCAACGCTTTTCTCTGTTAACCTAATACCTTTCATCAATCTTCATTTAAATGTGAAATCAATTCAAACGTCCCAAACAACATTCCTCTATTTGTGATTGACCCAAAAAAAGGAGCAATCTTCAAATGACCTATCTGGTTTGACACCCTACCTTGGTGCATGACTACAGAAATCAATCACAGCTCAAGTTTTATTTGTTTTATTCTTGAACAACAGCAAAACTCCATTATTAGACAAGTTTTTTAAAATTCGATATCACAAACTAAGTTCTCCTTCGAGTCAGTCCTTCCAAACCTGCACCCAGTTCTCCAGGCCCTCTCCGTGTCAAAGTCTAATTCAGGGTATCTCATTGCTGAGAGTGTTAACAAATAACAGCACCAAATTTGTTTTCTTAGAAATGATACGACTAATCCGAGCCCCAGGAATCCCTGACAGGTTGGTTTCTGGGCAAACAAAACACGACTTCCCGAATCCCAGGACTGATTCTCTTCACAGTTTGTCTAAGTTAAAATTTCACATTCTCAAATATCGGGAACACGTTTTACAATATACTTCGAAAATTTCAAACACCACTGATAGGAGGAATGTGTTTTCAAAATAAAGATTTCATGTCAATAACATGGAAGTAATATTTGGAAAGGGGAAAAGTAAACAGGACCGATAGCTTTATAAATCGCAAATTGACACTTATCATGCCTGCGGAGGTGAATTCAGGGGCAGTGTTATGCAATCACACGATGCAGTTCATTACGGACCTTGAAGGAATACTGTCAGTAAAGTCAACCTTATCTCCACCAGACACAACAAAGTCTGACTACCAGACGCTTTAATTGCATCCAGACTTGATAATTTGTTTTTCAACAAGGTTTAATGCACATTACAACACTGATCAGGCGAGGAGAATGTCATCCATGTCGTAACATCACCTGGAGTTATG